AACTGACCAAATAGAGATTAAGTTTTTCTTGAGACCAGGAATATATCTGGCATCCTTTAATGTCCATTGATTTCCTACTAGAGTTTTTATGTAGACATCTCATTTTCCTTCAATCTCCAAACCTTAGTTGTTGGTAAGATACACATTCTCGGAATTTTCAGACTTCAAATTTCGAAATAGCTTTTTATTTGGAGAAGAATGAAAAGATGTACCTAAATCCAAAACCCAAGATTTAGTCGAACTATCCACGTTGAGGATTAAAGGACCCCAATGTCTTCTGTTGAATGTATAAAATCATCGTCGTCCTCTGATTTGTGATTCTGCTTCCTCTTTGATCTTGTATAATCTGTCCGAAAGTGACCTTTTTCTCCACAACTCCAACACTTTTTGGTTTGTTTGGAGATTTTCCCCGGTTCTTTGATTTTGATCGCTCATGTTTGTTTGACTCTTTGATTTACTTCTTCCCCTTCGATCAACACTGAGAGCATTGCTTGATGAATCTCCAATTTCCTGTTTGCGAATACTTTCATCGAGAACTACATCTCGAATTTCATCAAATTTCAGTTTATCAGATCCTCAGGAACTTCCAACAACAGTATCCTACAACTCGGGTAAAGATGACATCAAAATCAATGCTTTAATTTCATCCACGAAATTAATTTCTACCGAACTCAGTTGACTTACAATCATATTGAATTCATTTATATGATTAGCAACAGATCCTCCTTCAGACATTTGTAGAATGAACAGCCTCTGTATCAAATACACCTTGTTCATAGCCGACAGTTTTTTGTACATATTCGACAACGCCTTCAATAGGTCTGACGTCGTTTTCTCCTTGATGATGTTGAACGCCACATTTCTGGACAGCGTCAATCGGATCAACCCTAAGGCATGACAATCCTTGAGCTTCCACTATTCCGTGGTCATAGTATCCAGCTTCACCCCCAATAGGGGTTCGTGAAGATCTTTCTGGTACAGATAATCTTCAATCTGCATCTATCAAACTTTTCAATTCAAATCTTTGAAATTTTCATCTTCACACATCAGGGTGAATTTCGCCTAACTTTGATACCAGTTGTTAAGATCACACATCAACGGACATACTCAATCAAGATGAACACAGAGAACAGAGAGAAAATTCAAAGAGAAATATTAGCAAAACCTTTTATTCATGACTTTGCACATGTAAACCAACAAACAATAGAGAACATTACCTAACTATAACCGATTTAATTCACTAAATATATCTCTACCAAATCTTTACTAAATATCTACGATATACATCTTTAAAAAATATATACCCTATGTATTTACCGTACATAGGCATAGGCTCCATTTCCCAATGTGAGATACATGACGATAAAAGTACTCAATTAAAATGTTTAAGACCCTTACCATATACTTAACCAAATTATATAGTTCATGCACATATTTGTCATCCCTACAAGTGGGCCATCCCCTCTGTTTCTTTTTCAATAAATCAAGAGCTGCATGCTTCACTCTGCATTCCCATCTCTGCCTTTCTCCATTTCCACCGCCATGGGAGCTCTGCACAAACCTTCCCAATCCCATATTGTTATGGTGCCAAGTCCAGGAATTGGCCATCTAATTCCCCTCCTCCAGTTCGCCAAACGCCTTGTCTCTCTCCACGCCTTATCCGTCACCGTCGCCATTCCCTCCGACGCCCCTCCGACCAAAACACAAAAAGCTCTCTTCACCAACCTCCCTTCCACCATCCAACCTCTCTTCCTCCCGCTCGTCTCCTTCTACGATCTCCCCAAACACACCAAAATTGAAACCATCATCGCTCTCTCTGTAACTCGCTCTCTTCCGTTCATTCGCGACCTCTTCAAATCCCTCATCGGGAAAACCCATCTTGTTGGCCTTATCGTCGACCACTTCAGTACTGACGCCTTCGATGTCGCCATCGAATTCAACGTCCCTCGCTACCTTTTCTTCCCTCCCTCCGCCATGTCCCTGTTGGAAAGAGGGATAGTGAAAGAGATAGGAATAGATGAGAATAGATAGAAGCTGCAGTGCTTTATTAATGTCTACTGACTTGATGCCTACAGAGTTACACAATTCCAGTATTTATAGCTAATACACTGGACCAGAAATAGTAAATCATAGAAATCTAGATAAACTCAAATCTATTAACAATCTCCTAAAATCTTGGTAGTTTGAATATTTGAATCATATCTAACTACCCTAAATCATATCTTCATTTTGAATACTTTGAATCATATCTCAACACTCCCCCATGATTCAAAGTTGCAGATGTAAGTACAGAGCTTTTCTTCTGACAAGGCCTTTGTAAGTGTGTCTGCTTTAACCCGTACATTGTCTGTCTCAGCTTGTATACCTTTGTTTCTTTGTCTTCTTTTTCAGTTGCTTCTTCATAATTGATAGGGTCTGAAATAGTAAGAGCAAACTGACATGATGCATATATGTCAGCTAAAGATTTATACTTCCTTGGAGGTGTCTCATCTGAAAGTTCTTCAAGAGAGGAATTGTTGTTCAATGATTCTGAAGATGATGAATTTGACACACTTTGTGTTGCAGTGGATGCACTGGGAGGTGCACTGGAGTTGACCCTTGTCTCTTCATTTGGGGAAACTTCAACTGTAATCTTTTGCTGCTCCTGTTCTTTAATCCAATCCCAACTCACGTTTTCATTAAATATTACATCCCTTCTAACTAAAATCTTTTCACTAATGGGGTTGTATAGTTTATATGCCTTTGATTGAGTACAATAGCCAATGAAAATGCATTTTTCAGATTTTTCATCAAGCTTTTGACGAGTTTGAGGATGTTTCAAAGCATAAGCAACACAACCAAAGATTCGTAAATGACTTACAGATGGTTTCCTTCCATGCCATGCTTCATAAGGAGTTCGATTCATAACCGCCTTTGTTGGTGAGATGTTTAATAGATAAACAGATGTTGCTACGGCTTCGGCCCAAAATTGGTTTGGAAGTCTCCTTGCTTGTAACATACTTCTTGCCATCTCCACAATAGTTTGATTTTTTCGTTCAGCGATTCCATTCTGTTCTGGAGTGTAGGGAGCTGTTAATTCCCTTTGGATGCCCTCTTCTTCACAAAAGAGATTGAAATCTTTAGATATGAACTCGCCACCTCTGTCTGTGCGAAGAACTTTAATGTGACAGCCACTTTGGTTCTCTACCATAGCTTTAAAAATCTGGAACTTCTGAAAAGTTTCTGACTTATGTTGTAGGAAGTAAACCCAGCTCATGCGACTATAGTCATCAACGAATAGTAAAAAGTATATACTTCCACCCAAGGACTTCGTTTGCATTGGCCCACATAAATCAGCATGAATTAGTTCTAGATAATGTGAAGCTCTTTTAGCTTTTCCAACAGGAAAGGACTTCCTAGTCTGCTTGCCATAAATGCATCCTTCACATAAATTAGTTGAGTCAATTTTTGGTAATCCGAAAACCATACCTTTATCCCTGAGTATTTTCAGGCCGTTCATATGAAGATGTCCATATCTGAGATGCCATAATGTTGAATCATCTTTCATGCTAGCAGTAAGAGCAAAATCCTCCATGTTAGAAACATCAAGTGGAAACATCTTATTTGAAGTCATGGCAATTTCAACTTTATGGCCTGATTTCTTATCTGTGATGACACATGTGTTATCATCAAATAGAACTGAGTGTCCTCTGGTCATCAATTGTCCAACACTCAATAAATTGTACCCTAAATCAGGTACAAATTGAACATTATCTAATTGTTTTATCTTACCGTGACTGGTTTCGACTTTCACTGTACCTTTTCCTTCAACTTGCATCTCTTTTGTATTTCCAAGTTGCACCTTAATCTTTTGCGTCTCATCAAGCTCTTTGAATAAGGATTTGGTGCCTGTCATATGGTTCGAGCATCCGCTATCAACAAACCATAAGCTACCTTTTTCCGGATTAGTATCCATGCACGCCACAAACAACTTATCTTCTTCTTCTTCATTCTCTGCTGCAAAATTCATTTGTTGATTTTTATACCAACAATCAGATTTTGTGTGACCATACCTTCTACAATGGTAACATTGTATGACATTCCTTTGTTCATTGAATTGTCTCTGTCCACCACTTCTCCAACTGTTATCATGACCACCATGGAAGTTGCGAAATCCTCCTCTTCCACGACTTCTACCTGCTAAATGAATATTTTCTCTTTCGTTATTGGTTGTCTCCTTCACTTGTAGTGCCTTTTCTTCGTTTCTTTCTGATGCTCTACTGATTCTTGCCTCATGAGCCTGAAGCGAGCCCATCAGTTCATCAACGGAGAGTATGGATAGATCCTTAGCTTCTTCTATGGCGGCCACCACATGGTCAAACTTTGGAGTCAAGCTTCTCAACACCTTTGCAACAATTGTTTCGTTTGAAATTTTCTCTCCATAGGTACGCATCTGACTGACTATTGCCATTGATCTTGACAAAAAATCAGCAATTGATTCGCCATTCGTCATGAGTAGAGTTTCAAAATCACGTCTTAGAGATTGCAATTTCACTGTCATGACCTTTGAGTCTCCTAGAAACTCCTTCTGTAGAATTGACCATGCCTGCTTTGATGTGGTTGCTGCTGCAATTCGTGAAAAAATAGTCTCATGAACTGCTTGTTGAATAATGAATAGAGCCTTGGCATCGTTTTTCTTGGTTTCTCTCAGTCTCTCCTTTTCTTCTATTGTGGGTTCTAATACATCAGCAAACCCGTGCTCCACCAAGTCCCATAGCTCCTGCGATCTGAGCAAGGTCTTCATCTTGATGCTCCACCACTCATATTTCTCACCATTAAAGATTGGTAACAACGGTGCAGAGGAAGAAAAACCAGCTACTGCCATTTTTGTTTTGTGAAAGAAAATAATCACTCGCCCTCGTGTCGAACGAACTTGGCTCTGATACCACAATTGTTGGAAAGAGGGATAGTGAAAGAGATAGGAATAGATGAGAATAGATAGAAGCTGCAGTGCTTTATTAATGTCTACTGACTTGATGCCTACAGAGTTACACAATTTCAGTATTTATAGCTAATACACTGGACCAGAAATAGTAAATCATAGAAATCTAGATAAACTCAAATCTATTAACAATCTCCTAAAATCTTGGTAGTTTGAATATTTGAATCATATCTAACTACCCTAAATCATATCTTCATTTTGAATACTTTGAATCATATCTCAACAGTCCCTTTCCTTCGCCTTTCAATTGCCCAGCCTCGACCAAATCGTCTCCGGCGAGTTCAGGGACCATCCCGAGCTGATTCCGATTCCTGGGTGTATTCCGATTCATGGGGAAGATCTCTTGGAACCGGCTCAAGATAGGGAGGATGATGCGTACAAGCTATTACTCCATAACTGTAAGAGGTATAGATTGGCCGATGCTATTTTTCTTAACAGCTTCCCGGAATTGGAGCCGGAAGCTATGAAAGCTCTGCTAAAGGAGGAAGCAGGGAAGCCCCCTGTTTATCCAGTGGGTCCGCTGGTGAGAAACGATTGCAGTGAAAACGGAAAGAGAGCGGAGTGTTTGAAATGGCTTGATGAACAACCAAATGGGTCGGTTCTGTTCGTGTCATTTGGGAGCGGTGGGACTCTGTCGAGTGCTCAAATCAAGGAATTGGCGTTGGGATTGGAAATGAGCGAGCAGAGATTTCTATGGGTGGTAAGAAAGCCAAACAACGAGGCGGCTAATGCAACGTTTTTTAGCGACGAGAACGAGAACGAAGCGTCGAGCTTCTTGCCGGAGGGGTTTATGGAGAGGACGAAAAACAGGGGAATGGTGGTGTCATCGTGGGCGCCACAGGTTGAGGTGCTGAGGCATGAGTCCACCGGGGGGTTCTTGAGCCACTGTGGGTGGAACTCGACGCTGGAAGGCGTGGTGAATGGGGTTCCTCTGATTGCTTGGCCGCTGTATGCAGAACAGAGGATGAACGCCCATATGCTGACAGAGGACATTAAAGTTGCTTTGAGGCCGAAGAAGAAGGAGGGAAGTGGGATTGTGGAGAAGGAGGAGATTGCAGAAGTGGTAAAGTCGTTAATGGAAGGCGAAGAGGGGAAAAGGATTCGAGGGAAAATGAAGAATCTGAAAAATGCAGCGGAAAGAGCTATGGGGGAAGATGGGTGTTCATCCAAAGCAGTGTGTGAAATGGGTATGAAGTGGAAGAAGAAGATGATGATGATGAGCTCCCAAAATGGGTATGAATTGGAAGAACATCAGGATTTTGAATCTTCAATTGCCTCTTGGGGGAATTGAATTACTATAATTTCAATACTCAACTTTTTAGCTTGTAACATTAGTTTTTCTTAGCCATTTTCTAAATAAAAATGTAACATAAAGCTATAGACAATCCAAATTTTAGATAGTTGACTTGTTGTTTGATTGCTGTTGGAGGTATTTGGATAGAATATTAGGATAAGAAGGTGGTATTTGCTTAGATTACGTACGAAAACAATGGGAATTTGGACCAAAATTTAAAGTATTTTGTAGTTGAGAGATGAAGAGAGAGGAAGGTGCAATTGGTGACCATTTCAAAATTTGTTTTGTGTTTTATTATTTTCCGACGTGGAGCAACGAGGAAACAGCCTTCAAGATTCCACCTTCTTTCTTCCATTTCACCTCACTTTTAATTTCATTTCAGAACACCAATTTTATTCCTCACCTCACACTCACCTACCCCTTCACCCTCTCCATTCAAATCTTTTTATTTTTAATAATCAAACTAAAAAACATATCATAATTTTTTTAATTTTATTTATAGATGCTATACAGATTTTTTTTTTTCTTTTAGAGTTTGCGTCGTATCATAAGTATATAATATGCACGGAACTAAAAGATCAAAAATTTGAATTTTCATGTTCATGTATTTTAATTTAAAATAAAATTATTTTAAAGAAAAAACATGGATATGGTAGGTAGAATAGTGATAAGTGACGTATAAAAATGTCAGTCAAAGACCTAAAAAGTGTCCTAATTCAAATTAGTTTAAGATGTCTAAAATTAAAATAGTGGATAATAAGATAATTTATTATGTTTATATGAAAATGCTATTATAATTTTATTATATTAATTAATTTCAAATAATTGATTTTTTTTTTTGTTAGTTTACTTTTATTAAATAAATAAAATCAGTTAAATTTTAATTTTATTTATAAAAAAAAGTATATTAGTATTGATATGACTTAAATTTTAAAATTTTAAATTAGTCAATAATCCATATCGATAATTATTTTGGACGGAAATATATACTAATAAAATAGAAGAATTAATTATAAATATTATATTTTAAAAATTAAATATAATTAATTTATCTCACTTATTTCAATTATTTTAATGTATTATAGTTCTTTTTTCTCCCCATCCATTTATGAACCATTTAAAAATGTTTGATAAAAAGATAACGAATAGAAAACCATAAAACTACCCCAAATAATTGAAGAAAGAGAAAACACAAATAATAGAAAAATACCAACAAAAAAAAAAGTCATTAAAAAAAGAAAACAAGAATAAAAATTGGGAATAAGTTGAGAAATATAAAAATAAAAATAAAAATAAAAATAAAAATAAAAAAAAGTAGATAGAGGAATAATAAAAAGAAAAAGAAAAAAAAAATGAAAATTAATTTCTTACCTTTCCATAGTCTTTATCTAATTTGATAAATAATAATAATAATAATAATGATAATCATTAAAAAAAGGAATGATTATGTGACTACTGTGACAAACGTAGTTATTACGTTGAACCAAATTAATTTGATTCTTATCCTTCTGGAAGATATCAGCTACCGGACATAACGACATTAAATGATAATTACATGAAATTCTATTTAGTCACTGACAAATATGTATAAATATGTCACGTTCAAATATGTCACTAATTTTTTCTATTTATTAACAAAGAAATTCCAAAATCATTATCAACCTTACTTACACACCTACTCATTGTATAAATAAATAAATTAAAAATAAATAACATTTCATATTTTAAAAAAATTTTAACGAATTTAATTAACTTTTAATTTTGTGTCTAATATGTCTGTTTGGACTTTAAAAATGATTATTACATAATTTTTAATTTTATATTGATGAGTCATTAAATTTAAAAATGGTCTAATAAATTTGTAAATTCGAATTTGTATTACTAAAGCGAAAATTCAATAAATAAAATATATTTAAGTAACTATTTTTCCTCAGCATTTATAAATAATATATGGATATGACAAATTTCCCGTATTGAATAGATATATGTCATACTAAATGAATGAAGACTATGAGATATTATCTATTTTCTAGATATCGTAAACAAAATATTACCCTCATTCTTTATTTTGTCTTGCAGCTTCCATTCTATTTTTTTTTACTTTTGTCAACCTTAAATTTCTATATATTTAGAGTCGTTTCATGAACGTATCTTACTCCTATCGGTATATTTCGTTTTGTGCATCATTCTCATATCCTATCTCAAACATATCATTGAACACATCGTACCGTAATTATTATCATACAATTCACATATTAATAACATATACATAACATATAAGAAGCATATCGATCCACGAACAATTCACAAATATCAATATATATATGACACGTGCAGAACCACGGGGCACGTGTCAACATCAAATATAACCATGCTGATAGTAAGGCCAATTACCTGATTAGCTTAGGCTGGTGTCACTCATTTATCCTTAAGAAAGTTCAAGTCCTTTGTATCCATATAAAACAATATGAACCATGTCATCAATTTCATTTTAATTTTCTCAATTTACAATTGTCCATGTGTTAGGACTTCAGGTGAGTATTAGAGACTTGCAAAAGAGTCTTGAAATTATATATATATATATATATATATATATAAATAATGTTATTTTCACTACCTCTCTTATATTCTACGGGAATGTATTGTTATAGGACAAAATTTAATGGAGTTTCTTGTTCTCTAACATTTAAAGTTTTATTTTTAAATTTTGTTTACGAAATCTTTCCTCAATCTCCTTTTTCCTTTTCATCTCTATAATTATTTTTATTCTCTAAACAGATATTACTTTTCCCTCCATTTATTTTCATTTGTTAAACAGATATTATTAGTCTGGTTTATGGATTATTACTTCCAAAATTGGCTACTATCTTACAGATATATAGAATTGTCAACTAAAGTTTTATTAATTCTAACCTTATTTCCAATAACTTAAAAGGGTAACAAAAAAAAAATCTAATTAATTGGATAGGAGAATAAGATCTTACGTAAAATATTGGATAAAATAAAGAAGATCCGATTAACATAAATATGAAAGAAAAAATAAATCTTGGATAAGATTTACAGTAATAACATACCAAAATCTCTCTCCAAAATAAAATTGAATTCTATTTCGGTTGAAAACCATTTTACTTCCTCTCAAATCTGACACGGAAATGTGATATTGTGTGTGGGTTGAGGAAGGAGGATGGGTTGGGATCAAATCATTGGAGATGGACAATAGTAAGAGAGAAGCATAGAAGAATTGTTTTTATTTTTATTTTTTTTATTAATTTATTATTATATATCTTCTTAAATAAAATAATATTATTTTTTTATTATTATTTTTTTTTTTGGCTATTACATTCATTTTGGTTTTTTCCCTTTTTATTTTTTCTTTTTCTTTTCATTATCCCTCTATCTACTTTTTTTTTTTTTTTTATATT